CTATTTAAGTTTTGTTATATTTTTTTTCAAAATCAGGAAATAAAATTTATTATATATAAAGCATAATTGATAACGTTAAACTATTGTATTCCTGTACTTATTTATATATATATATATATACATATTTACTCATATTATTTCAATTTTATAGATAAAAAAATGTAGAAACATTTATGTATTTTAAATATTACTAACCTTTAAGACCAGGATCATCATTTTTTGTCCTAATATTTGTAATTTTTACTGGCTTTCCAGATAATGTGGACAATAATAAGCGATATCTGAGATAATTACTACCTTCGTATACAAGTACTTTGTTTTTTATTTTAGTTGACATTTTGTAAAAAAAATAAGATAAATCTTTAAAACCGCGTTACTATTTTATATTCATGCGTATTTATGCGTATTGTAAAAAATTTACTAGATACAGACACAACAGAAATACCAACAGCGTCAGGGCTGTGTGGCTCACAAGGCAGAACGAAAATTTACCAATCAGTGTTGTTAGACGGGTTTCAGACGCACGCGTGTCCAATGTAGGACATATTCAGTAACGTACCGGACACTAGTAAATAGGAGATTATTAGTTGCCTATGTGTAATTTTTTCAAAAATGTTAAAAATTTTAATATATTTTATACATCTTACATATGTATACATATATAAAAATATATTATATATATTTAAATATATGTATACATATGTAAAATGTGTAAAATATATTAAAATTTTCTACATTTTCAATCCTAAGCGACTAATGATCTCCTATTTATTAATGATCGATACGTAGAGCTACGTTGGACGCGCATACGTCTGAAACCCAGTCCGTCTAACAACACTGCTACCAATTCGGAGGAGAGACCAGGCCTGGAATCGAAACGAGGAGCGCCCTGATATTTTTCTCTGTTGTCAATTGTTTACAGCATTGACACCAATTGGCACCGTCGCATAATGGAATTTAAGTGGAGAAAGCACAAACTCTTGCACAAAGCCGTAAATACAATGGGCGCATTTAACTTAACAAAGCGGCTAACCTGAGCCAACCTGCTCGTCGAACAAATGAATATGATTGGTTGATACTTATAGATCCAATCAATCATATTTAATTGCTCGGTAATAACACTGTGCGTAATAGGACTACGGAATAGAAAATATGTCATTGAAGCATCCAACCAGAGACCTTATTCTTGAGCACAATTATAAATAATTTTTATATTCGAAAATGATAGTTTCTCGTAATTGGTCGATTGTATACGGAATTGCTATTTTCATATGCGATATTTGTTTAAGAATAGAATGCCAGTGCTATTTCGCATTTTGCCTTCAATTTTGCCTTTATTTCCCAATCCTTTTCCGCATCATGTGATTTTACCCTAAAGCTCAATCTACATTACATGCAAAGCAATCTTAATTTTGCTGCGACAGCCAATCTGAAGCATTAGTTTCAAAATGCAAGCTTCAAATTGGCTGTCGTTACAAATTTGCGATTGGCTTGCGTCTAACGTAGAATGAGCTTTAGAGTAAAATCACACGATGTAGAAAAGGACTGGGAAATAGAGAATGCATCATTGACCTAATTTT